ATTTTAATGTAAAAGCTTAATAAGAACTATTGATCCTATTAGCCAAACTTATAAAAAAAAAAATCTATTATGCAAAAGTATTCTAATGCCTTTACATAACTTCGATATATGAATTGCGCACTTCCTTTAATCATATCATCATATCTATCCATCTATATTATTATAAAAGCACGAATAATTTATGCTAAATGTTGAACGACTAAAATATCCCCAAAATATTGATCGACTTTTTTGCCCTTAAGTATTTGTATAATTTAAAGATCTAATTGTAAATTATCAAATGATGAAATTCTTTTTCAATTTAAACTATACATACGCTAACCCTACAAAGTTAATCCTACTTAGACTAGAAAGGCATGTCCATAATTTTCTTTTAAAAAAAATTGTTGTTCCTAATTATAACAAGTACGTAATTTTAGTGGGAGGATAGTAGATCCTTCTTGGAGAACTTTTTTTCTTTCTTATTCACATTATAAATTTTATACCTTTTTATTGTGTAAGGAACTTCTATAAATTTCATTCATTGTGATTTGTTTTTATTTACGTGTTAGGAATTTTTTTTTATAAATACCAATATTTTTCCTTCGAATAAAATATCATGATTCCTTCTTGAAGAGGTATTTTTTCCTTTCACGATAGGTTATTTGGAAAGTTCTTCGATATCTTTTATATATTTAGTTAGAACTTACAAAATATAGATTCACGTGCTTTTTAACTAGAGATTGGATTAATCAGGATTGGAATTGAATTTAGAGATTGTATTGATTAGGATTGGAGTTAAATTATTTTCTAGCGGTAACATATAATTTTCTTTTGAATATTCGTATAGTTAAGAATTTATATTTTATTAAATATGACTTTTGTAATAATTAACATAAAATAACGTGCAACACAAGAAAAAAAATGCCAACAGAATGTATGAATGACTAAATGACTTTTCTATTTTTAGTTTCTTTGTTACTAATGTATCTTGAGTAAATATGATTTTCATGTATCTGAATCATTAAGGCTTAATTAAATAAAAAAAATATATTGAATCAAAAAAATAATATTAAGTATTTTGTAATCTTTAAGTAATTTTACAACTTTAATTGTATAATTCCATAATATTTAGTTCTATTTTGCCCTTTCATTGTGCCAAAACATTATTAATTTGTTCGAAGGAAATTATTAAGCTTTGTACATATTGAATTTCGTACATATTCAGTTGTAATTAATTTTAGAATATTATGTAATTGAAAGTTTATTTTTTCATATGTGTTTCATAATATTTGACATAAGATATTCGTGCATCGCACGAACGTAGAAACTAGTACTATATTAAAAGCACGAAGGCTTTCGCGAAATGTCGTTTGCCTTTTCTATCCTTTAAAAATATATTTTACATCGGATAAAATTGTAAAATCAAAAAGCTTTCCAAATATTTAAATGTTCTAAATCAACTAAGTTATTTCTAAGTAATTTAGTGTTTGATATCTTCTCCTAATAAGAATACAAAATATTAAGACAATAAAAGAATCCAAAAAAGTAGGAGGAAATTTTTTTCGTTAGTTTCCAACAAGGAAACTTCACGATTTTATATAATATTAATGTTCTTTGTCCTTGTTTAATCATAAAGATCAAATTTGTCTCTTTATTTCCCCTTCATATGATTTATTTATTGTTTTTAAAATTTAAATGAAAAGTATTTTAGAAGCTTGGTTGTAAATTCGTTTATTTCTCAAAATTTTCTACGACATTAGGTTATAGGAAGAGTAAATATTTTTGAAAAAAAGTAATAATTAATTTGTAAAAAGAAGTAATAAAAATTCGTGTTAAAAAAGAAACTAATATTATTACTAAGAGATTTTATTGCATAATTTAATTTTGAAAATAGGAATTAGTTACGAAATTTATCTTGTAGCTGATCACTTTTTATATTGATCTGTCACTTATTTAATTACATAATTTTTCATCACTAGTTTATTTCTTTATGTAGTTGACTTGTCTAGATGGTATCTAGACAATTATTTTGATACGAAACTAATATAAAAGGACACTAAACTTTCAAAATCATCTTGGTTGTTTCATGCTTAGCCTCTACTTTTTTTTTTTTTTACTAAATAGGCTCAATATTTGTTATTTTCAAGAGCTTATATTTAAAAAAATTATTTTAAGGGCTTATATTTTTATAATTTTATATGCATTGTACAAGGTACACACGCATCGCGCGTATACTAAAACTAGTTGTCTATAAAAAAGCAAAATTTGATCACGCCCAACTCTAGTCCTAAAAAGGATAAGCGGTCGCTGCAAATATAATCCGGTCTAAAAGTCCGGAGTCGAATCCCACAGAGAACTAAGGCTTAGCTACAGTTGTTCACTATCACCAAGAATACAAGCTTGAACAATTCCTAACTTATAGATATTAAGATTCTTGTGTTTAACTAACTAACTAACAAATTAAAATAATAAATTAACACTAAAGATACTACAGGTTGGAGAAAAGATTAAGGAGGTCTAGAGTTATGATTTCCCCAATTGTCGGAATCCTTCCCGCTATGTCTTCTATAATTTCGTCTAAGTATTCTCTACCGATCATGAGCGCTCTGCGTGTTGTAATTCTCTCCCGAGTAATTACCACAATTTACTAGAGATACTCTCCCGAGTTACGCTAGCTGGCTTTAATTACAGCTCACTTAGATCGCACCCAAGGTTTCGTTATCCCTAATCCCACCTTTAAACCCTTGGTTATTGATTCCTCACATACGTCGGGAGTGATGTTGTTCAACAACTACCTAAATATGTACTCTCTCCCGAGTAATACATACTAAATATGCACAGCTAATTGAGGGCCCTTCAATCAACCACAAGAATAATATAGTTGAACAAAAAGAGAAAATACTACGGCTCAATTATATAAAAACATAACAAGAATTTATCCTTCAAAAGGTTCCATCAAAACCCTAGATAACAAATTAGCTATTCATAATAGTATGTAAAACTACCACACTAAAAGTCATAACCAACAATGAAAAATAGGAAGAGGAAGGAAAAACTTGTGGAAGAATTCTCCGCCTTGCTCCTATTGTTCTCTGCCTCCTTAGGTCGAATCTGTGTCAAAAATATGTCCAACCTCTCAAAGTACCGTTTTTCCATGTATATATACCAAGTAGGGTCGGGCCCAAACTATTATACCTTCTCCTACGCGAAAAGGGACAAATTTTTCACGTCTGGACGTTGCGGCCGCGGTATATGGCAGGTATACTGCCTCAGGCCGCCTCAGGTCCGCGGTCGCGATTTCGACCACGTTTTGAACCCTGTTACGTTTAGAACTTGGAAAAACGTAACATGAAAGTTGTAGCCCGTTGAGTTAGCTTTCCAACCATATATTGTGGAGCCCAAATGGAGTTCTGAGCAAAAAGATATGTGCATTTTAGTAGACAGTGCGTAATATACCTACTCGATTCTTTGTTTTGTTGCTGTATCATCCGTTGATCCCCGAATACGATCCCAGCTTAATTCCTTGGGCTTTTAATCAGATTTCAAAGCTCCAAATCACTTGAATTCATTTCATAATATCTATATAGCTCGGAATCACTCCTACAAGGCATAAAACACACCGTTAGTGCAAAACACTAGCTATTAAAGCGCAAACTCAACTAAAGTGCAGTAAACTAGAGTGTAATAATCGACTAAAATACGCAATTATAGCCTATTATCAGCAAGCCACATGGAAATCACCAATTCGATCGCATGTGCAACGTCTGCGATTCTGTTGAAGGCTTGTTTTATAGGTGTGAGCTCTGTGAATTCGATGTCCACCCTCTCTGTACTCAGTTGCCTGAAACATTGCGCCATGTCCTGCATCAGGTAACTTACTAGAGATCTGAACTATCTAATTGGAAAAGTGTAGTATGGAATTTATATACTCCTATCGTTCATGGATGGAAAACATCCAACAATCTAATATGAAAACGTGTACATAATGAAGGGAGGATAAATTGGAGAAAATTAAGGAAGTGGTTCTTACAACTGGAATGGTACGGGAATAAGGTAGGATAAGATATGCAACTAAATTTATACTATGTTAGGTTAAATATAAATTTATATCGTCAATCACACATAGTATAAATTTAATCTCAGATTTAATCCTAGATATCCCAGCTTATCCGATCAAACTTAGGATTATAATTCCAATAGTATAATCCTGTAATAATTTAGTCTGCATACCCAACGACCCTAATTTGTACATTTCTTCTTGTTTCTTGCGCGATTTACATAATGTTAGATAGCTTGTACAAAAGAAGAAGAAAGGATAGTTTGTCCACAAACTTGATCATGTGGGATCACAAGTTACAAACTGTTGTATAATTCTGCAAGTATTTTTTATGATAATTCTAAATTCAGGCCCATCCTTTAAGGCTTCTAGGCTCGTCCGAATCAGGAACCTGTGCTGTTTGTAGAGGAGCATGTAACCGTTCTTCGTGGCGTTACAGGTGTCAACTATGTGAATTCGATATTCATATGGGTTGTCTTGTGGTACAATGTGAAAAGAAAACAACATGGCTCGGAATCACGACGTACGTTCCGCCTTCTGTATTCCCTCAGACTCAATATTTTGGTGGCTATGCTTATGAGATTCCATATTGGTATCCTAGTCAAGGTCAGGTTCAAACTCATCATGGTGGAAATGGTAGACGAATTGGGAAAATTATGTTTGTGTTGGTGAAAATACTTGAAATGTCTGTGTTGATATTTGGGCTATGAAAGTACGAGAGGGAAGAGGTAGGGGTGTTCAAAACCGAACCGAAACCGAAAACCGAACCAAAACCGAAGCTTAATGGCTTATTGGTATCGGGTTAACGGTTTAACGAACGGGGAACGGATTGAAATTTATTCATTAACGGCTTATCGGTTTGGGGACGGATTATTCAATTTTCTTAACGGATAATCCGTTAACCCGTTAAGAATATATATATATATATATATATATATATATAAAATCCAATCCAAATGCCATTGGTGATATCATATCTCTATGTTCCGCATCTAATCCAAACGCCACCAGTATCATAATCGACCAAGCGTTACCATTAACCTTAAGTTTTGCTTAACTTACCATCATCAAACACGTGTCATCGCTAATCTGGTACCTTTTCATTCACAAGTAGATAATACATAATAGTAGCAGGAAGAAAAGGCAGCATCACCTCCAAATTAAAAGTGAAATCGGTTATTAACATGGTAATTATACCTTCCGGTAGAAAATAAATGTTGCCATTAAAGCGGACCATAAAACGATAGTAATAATCAACAACCTTGGTTCAAATTTCTCAACATGTAATGAGTTCAAATGCATCATGTGAAAGAGGAAAGAGACTCATTTAGTTGACCATCAGGCTAACTTGGAACTACTAGAAGAGAGCGTATGTCTTCACACAATTCAACTGCTTGTGGAACGTGTAAACATTGCCACTCAGTATATTTGTTGCAATAGTACGCCCTCTGTAATGCACGCAATATAGATTGAATTAGGCCGATAAACCGCCCGATAAGAGCTAAACCGATACCAATCCGCCCGACATCTTATCGGGTGGCTAGCGGATTAATACATTTAAAAATCGATAACCGATAAGCCAAACCGTTAAGAGTAAATGACCGCCCAATCCGCCCGATAACCGGCTTCTTAGAGGAGTGAATATATTGTAACTTATTCGACTTAAAAGTATGTAGAAGATCTTTTGGAAATTACTTTTAATCGAATGTAAAACCTCTTACCAAGGGCGAATTTACATGGAGGGGTTCGAGTTTAAGTGAATTCATGCTCCCGTCTCTAGATTATGTATAGCACTGTAATTTTTCTAGTATTATACTTAAATATATCTAGGTAAACCCATGCACTAGACGCCACTTTGGTCCACTGATGGCTATGTGCCCCTTTGATTATACAAGTTAAGTTTGAATTCCCTGCCCTGTAATTTTATCCCACTTTCTGTTTCTGTTTTATACTTTTTGTATTTTATTTTTCTGTTTCTTGTCTTTCCTTTTCGCTCTTTTCTTTTTTAGTTTCATTTTGTGGTTCTTTTTATTGTTTTATCTTTTCTATTTTATTTTTATGTTTATTCTTTTTTGGTTCATTCTTGAGTTCTGAAATCCCTAAAAAAAGGAAAAAATCACATCTCCTTTGTCACGACCCAAAATCAACCGTCGTGATGACGCCTATCGTGGAACTAGGTCAGCCTCTACTTAGCAACTCAACACAATAATTCACTTTTAAAAATAGAGACGGAAGCAGTTAAAGTTAAAGAAAAGCCTTTTTGATAACAGAAATGATCCAAAATACGATACAATTTATCCCAAAATCGGGGTGTCACAGAGTACATGAGCGTCCAAACCAGGATACAGTCCACTACAGTGTCTAGAGAATAAAAACTAGAATACAATAGAGATAAAGAAGGAGAGTCAAGGCTCGCGAATGCCATGCAGCTACCTCGATAGTCTCCGACTCTGATTCCTGAATCAGCAGCCGCCGCCGTAACCAGAAGCGCCTGGATCTGCATACGAGGTGCAGGGAGTTACCTGAGTACATCCAACTAGTAAGTAACAAGTCCAACCTTTGGACTGAAAGGTAGTTACGAACTCAACCAGTACAGTTAACAATAGAATTAACAGTGCAGAAATGTAGGCATACTTTCAAGTTAAATAGATAGCTCAAACAGTGAAGTAGACCAGATCCGAACAATGTGAAGAATATAACTCTTCTATCTCTACATGCCCATGCACATGCTGTATGTGATGCACTATGCTGTCAGTCTCATGTGCTCACACTCTCAAATGCTCAACCACTCGGTACTATATATGGCCCATTCGGCCCAGGGAAGATCCATCCCGGAATATATACATCACTGACTATAAATCACCTAGTACCGAGGAAGGCCAATCCAGCTTCGTGGAGAAGATCCATCTCCAGGTATCAAGTACTTAGGACAAGATCCATGTCCAGGGAAGATTCATCCCTCAATAATATCATCAACGCTCACTGGGGGTGTCCAGACTCCGGAGGGCTCCTACAGCCCAAGCACTATCATAACATCAGTATAACCGCTGCAGCGTGTAGCCCGATCCCATAACTATCACTCATAATCAGGCTCTCGACCTCACTATCACGACCCGAAATTCCCACCGTCGGGACCGTGATGACGCCTAACATTTCACTTGGTAAGCAAGATAACGTTAGAGAGTCTTTAGCCAATTCTTAAAGCTTTCAGTGATTAACAACAATCAATCCATAACAAGTTGAAAAGAGTGCGGAAATCCAAAACAGCCACAATATATAATACTACTGATCGCGGCCGTCTCAACACTACACAATGGTAGGAAGAGTGGGTAGCAATAACTAATACCCGAATAGTGGATCGGGGTCGAATTTCCACAGGGAGCTTGGAATGGAGTTGTATTGCCTGTTTAGCCTAGAATTGCGTTTGTAATTCTAATTGCACTCCTAACATTTTTGGGGGTTTTTATATTTAAAACTACTATTGTAATCTAAGGCTTAAAGCTAAATTATGCTAAGGAAATATTGCTAAGTTGTGCTTAATATAGGAAAAAGGCACTAGGGTGGTGACACTACCTTGGTGGCTAGCTAACGGTTAAAAGCTACTAAGGGGAGATTGATAAATCTGGGTTTATTGCTATAGCCGTTGCACAATTGCACTCATTCTCACACCTCTCGGTAGAGAGAATGATTTTGCCCAATTGACTCTCTCGAGACCAATCAGGTAGGCCAATTAGACTAGGCAACTAGGGCTCAAGTAGGGAAATTACTCTTTCGAGGTTTAACCCGTTAATTGGGACTACCATTCTCATGGATCCATCCCAATTCCTTGTTGGGTTAACTTTTAGGGTCATATGACTCTCTTTTTCAAGAAGAGTTAGACCCACTAAGCTTGAATTCATGTTTGCAACCACAAATTCTAGATTGAAACACAAAATCAACCCAAATAACAAATACCCAATCTCAATCTCACCCTAAAATGCAACACCCATTAACTACTCACACTAGGGTTGAGCCACAACCCTAGCTAATGGGTTTAGCCAGACATAATTAAAGAAGAAACAATAGAAGTAGATGATGAAAATAACATAATGATTGATTACTATTTAAAAATTATGATATTGAAGAGGAAAATTGCCAAAATAGGCTACACAATACTTCTCACGAGCGCAGCTCTTGTTCAGAATCTAAAACTTAACCTAAAAATGGTAAAAAGACCTATTTATACCCAGCTGGAAAATCTGGACAAAAATACCCCTACGGGGTCAGCGCGGACCGCGCAAAAAGGTAGCGCGGCCGCGTAGGCTCCTTGAACTCTCAAATCTCATCTTTTGAAGTTGGGGGCCGCGGACCGCGCAGAAATGTCGCGCGGCCGCGGCGGAGGGTCGGCGCGGACCGCGTAGGAATGGGGCGCGGCCGCATAGCTTGACTTGGCCAAAATTCCACGTCTCTGAATCTCCTTCACACGGACCGCACTGATATGTAGCGGGGCCGCGTGAGACTTAAGCCTTCTCTGAACTTCCCTTGCGCGGACCGCGCAGAAATGGAGCGCGGCCGCGTGGCTTGCACCTCAAATTACCCCTCTGAATCTACTAGCACGGCCGCGTGGCAAATCAGTGCGGTCCGCGCTAGGTCTTCCTGTTCCTCAACTTCACTTGTTCTTGACGCTTGGCATGTTTCACTCCGTTTTGAGCCGATCTTTGACATTTGTCACCTTCTTGCTCAAACCTGCAATCAAGCGCAACTTGTAAGCGTTTTGGGACTATTTTGTGGCTATTTGTAACAAAAGCAATAGCAAGTAAGGGGTATAATCATGGTAAAATCCTAGCTCATCAGTGCTTTCTTCTTCGCGATCGCGAATATACTCTCGCGATCGCGGAGAGTGAACTGGGCTGGGGCGAATATTCCTTCATCGCGAACGCAATAGCTGGATTGCGAACGCGGAGCAATGGGGGCATTACCCTTCGCGAACGTGGCCAGCTTCTCGCGAACGCACAAGCATGGGACCTGGGGGAGGGGAATTGACCAAAACTCTTCGCGAACGCGGAACAAGGCTCCTGAACGCGTAGGCTGGTGGATGTAAGCTTTTACGAGCGCGAACACGAAGGGTGTCTCGCGAACGCGTAGGTTAGTTGAGCCAATGCTTCGCGATCACGTATGGCCCTTCACGAACGTGAAGAAGGCCTGACACCCAGTGATTTAAATATTTCAAAATTAGGATTTCTCCCATTTTTCATAACCCTTTCATTAGAGCTCGGACTAGGAGCGATTTTGAAGAGAAAACTCAACATCTATTCATAGGTTTGTACACCTTAACTCATTTTCTTCCATTTCTAATATCACCCATTAATTTCTTTCTAACTCTTCTCTGGGGATTCCATCCACAAACGCAAAGTTTATGGCTGACTGATATTGCCCATCACCATTTAGCTATTGCATTTATTTTTCTCGTTGCTGGTCATATGTATAGCCCTAATCTTTGTTCTTCCATGGTAGAAACTAGGGATTTAGGAAGAATTGGGTTTTTTTGCAAATTAGGGATTTAGATCTCAATTTGAGGTCGGATTCCGAAACTAATTACATAATCGGGATTGGGGGTGAATGGGTAAATGGATTTTGGTTCGAACCTCGGATTTTGACCAAGCGGGCCCGGGGTCGATTTTGACTTATTGGGGGAAAGTTTGAAAATTCTGAATTTATGAATTGTAATTGATTCCTTTAGCAATATTTGATATTATTGAGTGAACTGTGGTTAGATACGAGTGGGTTGGAGGCGGATTCTAGGGAAAAGGGCCCGGTA